ATCTTCAATTGACAAAAATCTGTATTTGTGCTAGTTCACCTTCCTAGACTGTCAGAATGAAAAAAATGGATTTTCCCTTGGGAAAATCAGTTGTGGGATGTTTCTGGTGATAGCATTAACAACAGAAAGCTCTTGCTGCTCTGTTAAGGGGGGCTGTGTTTCATCATCACGACTGCTGGGGTTTTAAAGTTGCCCAAAAGCAAGAAAAGCAGCTGCAACTCTGTTCATTTCTCCTGTGAACTCAGTGGAGTTCCTCTGTTCTTACAGCAAGGATTTAACTTGTGTAACAAACTTTTATTGGTTTCATTTTCCTTAATTGTGGTACATCCTGCAAGAGTCACGATTTTAATTGTATTTTTGTCAAGTTCTCTCTGTCAAAGTCCATTCAGTGAAAAATTATACCTTTGTTCTGCAGATGTGGGCAAGATCCATTGTTTTTCCCCAATCAATACATAAATTAGCCAACACTTAACTTGCCATAAAAATTAATTGGCTCCACATTGATTTGTGTCTCTCATGGCAGCACTAATATTTGTGTATGAACAGGAACTGGTCCTTCCCTTGTTTTATTTTCTTATCAGTAATGATGTTAAACAAAGCTGGGGTATTGCATGGGAAAAGGGAGAAAAGGATGAGGTTTGGGTTTGTTTGGAAGGCAAAAGCCTCGTGGAAACTCAGTGAGAAAAGCCAAAGTGGGAGCAGTTTGCTCTGAAGGAAGCAGAGCTCAGTGTGTGCCTGCCCTGCAGCAGCACAGGGAGTGAATTCCTGAGCTGATCCCGCAGCTCCTGCCCCTGCAGGGACAGCCAGGGGACACAGGGGACACAGCAGGGGACAGGACACAGCACAGGGGACAGAGCACAGGGGACAGAGCAGGGGCTGATCAAGGAAGAAGCTGATAATCAATAGAAGCTGATCAGGAAGCTGATAATCGATAGGAGAAGCTGATGATCAATAGGAGAAGCTGATGATCAACAGGAGAAGCTGATGATTTAGGAGAAGCTGATAATCGATAGGAGAAGCTGATAATCGATAGGAGAAGCTGATAATCAATAGGAGAAGCTGATCAGGAAGCTTATGATCAATAGGAGAAGCTGATAATCGATAGGAGAAGCTGATGATCAATAGGAAAAGCTGATGATCAATAGGAGAAGCTGATGATCAATAGGAGAAGCTGATGATCAATAGGAGAAGCTGATGATCAATAGGAGCTGATCAATAAGCAGCAGCAGGTAAAGCCCTGCTGAGGAGGGAAGGCTGGCGGGGCTCTCGTGGGAAGCTCTCCCTGCCCAGGCTGGGGGAGCAGAGCAGCTCCAGGGAGCAGCAGCTGTCTGAGCATTGAGAACGAGGCAGGAAAGGTGAGCACCTCACGGCTGTTAAAATGAACACCTCCAGCAAAGACTGAGATGGAACAATGCTAAATTATTCCTGACTTGTAGCATCTTACTAAAACATGCTTTTTTTTTTTTTTCCCAGAATCAAACAATTCTTTAAGGTGGCACTGCCCCAAACGATATTTGAGGGAAAAGCAGCTGCATTAAGAATTCCCAATTTGCATTTAATCTTCATGTGAGGACTCTCAGAGAGGGTGCAACAGCCAGGAGCTCACAGCTCTCCAAAACTGCAGCTGCTCATCTTCCCCTTCTGCACAGAGGAACGAGAAAATAAACCCTGGAGAAAACCCCGAGTGGTGGAAACTAATGTACAAACAGTTTTCTCCCAGATGTGAGACAGCTTTCCCTGGAGTGCCAGCCGGGAGTGAGGGATCCTCAGGGCCCTGAGCAGTGCCCAGGCTGTGCCTGCTGCCCTCCTGTGCCATCACCTCCTCCCCGAGGCACTTCTGGGCCCTCTCTGTACCAAAAGTGCTGGATTTACACCCTGCTGCTGTTTCTACCAGCCCAAAGCTGCCTGAAACACGGGAATTTACAGCTCCTCTGTCCCTAGGAGAGTCAAAACCTAACTTCAGCATGGGCAAAAATCAGGGCTGATGCTACACAGTCTGTGCCATGTGGGTTTGACACAACTTCTTCCTCTGTTGCCTCTTCTGACTTTGTCCAGAGCACATTGCACTTCATTTCAGCCTTGACATTCATCTCCTCTGAATTTCTACCCTGTGCTGTAATTACTTGGATCACACAAGTGAAATGTTAGTTCTTCTCTAGTTGCTCCTGCTATGAAAAACATCTTGCTGGACACAGAATTTTTTCAGATAATCATTTTACAAAATGTACTCTTGCCTCACTACAAAACATCTGGACAGGTCAAGAGCAAGCTGTCTCACAGCACCATCAGTCTCCACATCCTCCCCCACGCCCTGCAGGTCTCCGTGGATTTTGTTCATTTCTCTGATCTCTGGCACAGTTGTCCACCCGAGCTGGTGAACAGCAGAGCATCACCCTTCTTAAATCTGTCCCAAAAATGTCTGTCTGTCCCTGAAGTGTCCCCAAAAAACAACTGACTATTGCAATTTAGTGTGTTGAATTTTGTCTCTGAGAGGATTTAATTCAGGCAAAACTTTGCTGCTGGAAAAGAGAACTGGAATCTGTTCAGTGTCCACAGAGCCTGTGCTGCAATTTCAGCAAGAGCAGGCACAGAGCACAGCCCGCTGCCCCTGGAGCCTTTTTAATTAACCTAATTAATGGGGTTTGGTAGCTCTGAGTGACCCCAGAGCCCAGCCCTGCCCCAGGAGCACGGACACATCCCTTGGGACATTCCCTGCCCTTCCCTGACATCATTCCCAGCTCCCAACAGCTCCTGCTTCAAAATGAGAGAGAAATTCCCTCCCCTCAGCAGCTCCTCAGAGCCATGTGGGAAATGCAGAGCTTCCCCCGCCCCAGGGGATTTAACTGGCTGGGCTCTGGAACCCTAAATGCTCTGAAGTTTTGTTTCAAGAGGTGATCTTCAGTTCACAGGCATCCTCTTTGTAACTATTGCCTAAAATAGACTTGCTTTATTCCAACTTCCTTCTGTTTTCTGTTGCTCAGGGATTGGCATTTTTCCTACACACATTAGAAGGAGAGGAATTAAGAAGTCAAACTTTAATAAAGAAAAATTGTTTGGACTTGGCATTTTTTACTTTTTCTTATTACACTTTCCCCTGTTAAACTGAGAACATTACATGGAACAAAAAAACAGCCATAAGAATGAAATGATATCCACTTCAAAAGTTTCTCCCATTACTGCAGTATTTTAATAGATAAAACAGGTTTCTAAGCCAGTTTTTATGCTCTCGGTTTAAACATATTATTCAATCACAAACTTGATAAACAACTTGATGTTACTCTTTAAAGCACCTACTTTAACACAGTGATCTTGCAGCCAGAATTTCTTTTACATTTTAAATTCTGCTTTTATTCTACGAGGAGAACTAAACCTACTCAACCAAAGGAAAGCATTTCAGAGTGAAATAATATCAGAAAGGATCTGTGCTGCTGTCAGCTGAAAGCTTCCAGGGACATGGAGCCCTTTCCCAAACTGCTCAAGTAACTTCACTTGAATTTACTTCTGTAAACTTGCTTAAGTCATTTCCTTAGGTAAATTTACAGTTGTCTGTATTTCTACTGCTCCAAACCACTGCATGGAATTGTTTGGAGGCACAGCAGAGCTCAGGGGAACAGGTCTGGCCCCGTGCAGCCACCCTCGGGCACAGCTGGAACAATCTATTCATCATTCCCTCATCTCAACCATTAATTAAAGCCAAACGAGCAATTACATTCTGAAAGCTGGAGATGTCAGAGGAAAGCAGTTTTCCTGTCAGATTCAACCTGCATTGTCACTGGAGAGCTCTGTGAGAGACACCAGCAGCCTTCCAACAGCAAATGTAAAGCACACCTGACCCTGCCAGCGCAGTGCAGGGGATGCTGCAGCCAGCCCTGCCCACTCGCCATCCCCAGGATCCTGCTGGCCCAGGCACAGAACCACACCTGGGGAAAGAGCATCGCTCCCTGCAGCCAGCCCTGCCCACTCGCCATCCCCAGGATCCTGCTGGCCCAGGCACAGAACCACGCCTGGTGAGAGAGCATCGCTCCCTGGACCCCAGGAAGGCACAGAAAGCACAGCTTTACCAAGAGCCTCCCAGTAAATCCTCCCAGTAAATGCTCATTACTGCAGCACCAGCACCAGCCTGGGTAAACAAACAAAGGGAGTTTTGCAAACAACCTGCACAAAATTCACTCTTCACAAGTGCCCACCTCTAAGGGACATTTAGGAGCCCTCGGTTTGAAAAACTGTCAGCAAAACAGCACACTTCACTCCTGAGCCTCAGGGGGGCTTCGTGTTCTCTGCAGCTTTATCAGAAGCCCAACAGAAAAAGATAAACTGGCTGGAAAACAGCTTTAAAAGAAAAATATGATAAAATATTCAGAAGAAGATCTAAGAGATGTATTCTAGGAAATGCTGAAGAATTCAAATCGTTCCTTGCCGTTCCCACTCAAGGCTGTAAGTGGGTCAGAGATGCTGCAGTGCCTCCTCTCAGCTCAGGACTGACCACACAGACACACCTTTCTCCAACAGCAAACAAAACCAGCCACTGCTCCAGCTTCCTGCTGGCATGGTTTGGTGAAATTGAAACACCTTCCAAAATCCATCAGTTTTATTCAAACTTTTCTCTGAGTTTTCTCAGATTGTTGTATTTTTTGGCTCTCATTTCACAGGTTCAGAATCCTCTGCTCTCTGGAAAGGGCAGCTCAGAACTAGAGCTGGGATTGGAACCATCAAAACCCCTCAGTTCCCTCAGTGAGATGAAAAAGCAAAAACCACAATGAACTCTTGTTTTTGATCACTCCATCCCAGTCTGCACCAAGGCCCCAGGCTCACTGCTCACCTTCTCCAGCACCAGCGCTCGCAGCATTTACAGCCATGAGAAAAGAAGCCATAATGGTGGGAAAACATCACATTGCAGCCACAAATGGCAACTGGATGGCTACAGAAAACACCCACAGAACTGATGAGAGAAGCACCAGGGAGCGAGGCAGGCTCTGAGCTGCAGCTCGGGTCTCACTCACCAGTTTGTGGGCGAGCTGGATGGTGATGACAGGAGACCCCGACAGGTTGTAGGACAGCTGGGGCAGAGGTTCCACCTTGAGAGAGATGAGATAACTGCTGGCTGAGATCATGGAACCCTTGTAGGCAGCAGCTTCAGCAATCCTTGGAAAGAAGTAAACGTATTAAGGAAAAAGAATAACGACTGGATTTTTAGTTCACACGTAACAAAGGAACACAGGACCTCCTTTTTCCACCCAAGCCAATGAATTCCTCTAGGGCAGCAAGGTCTGGCCCCGAAGGATCCTGCAGCACTAGAGGCCTGTAGAGCCTGGGGAGCAGCTTTGGGCACCTGGGGACTGATATCAAAGGTCCTCCTTCACCCTGCTCCTCCTGGCTCAGAGTGTTTGGGGGACTTGGAGAGAATCCTGTGAAGGGACCTAAACCACAGCCAGAGCAAAGGGAGGAGGAAGCTGGCAGGGGGGTTCAGGCTGATCAAACAGATAAATCAGCGTGTGAGACACGCAGACAAAATCCTCATAAGCACAGGAATGTATTTAGAAGTGATTTATGGCTTTACCTTGAAAAATTGGTGATGTCCAGCTAGATTTGTTAGAGGGAAAGACAGGTCATACAAACATGAATTTGACTAAATAGCTGATTAGTCCTGGAAATGCATTTATTCTGCTGCAAAGTAATTTTGCAGCACATGAGAACCCTCATTTTAAGGTAAAACTGATGAGTTTGGCATTTTCACACCTTTAGGAGTAACTTGGATCCATTTGGTTTCAGGGTAGGATTTTTCACGCTCTCAGCTTTGATAGGCAGCATCTTTAACCTGCTTGTGTTTGCTAAACTTTGACCTACGTCAGGATCATTTTCATTCTCCTTCTCCCTTTGAAAAACTGAGATTACATCTTATTACCTTAATAAATTGCATTGATCCTGCTCTTTGAAAAGCATAAAGGCTCCCATAAGCTATTGCCCCAATTTCTTCATGTGAGTACAAAATGCACAGTGATGGCACAGCTCCCCCACAGCTCCCTGCTGAGTGTCCTGTCCTGGAGAGCAGGACAGATTGATCTAGAAAGGTCAGTCAGTAATTAATGTGTGATCATCTGGGCTGGGATCCAGGCTGGGTCAGGCAGGGCTCCACCCGAGGGTCACCAGCAGTGCCCAGGGAAGGGGGGCACCCCTGGCACTCTCTGGGAGCTGCTGCTCCTCTCCTGCTGCCAGGAACAGCCCAGCAAAACGTCCAGAGAAAATCACATGGAAACACAGCCATGCACTTGTTTAAAAGGAGTAATGGTTGGCAGGAATGGCCTTGCAGAAATCCCCTGGGAGCTGTGCTGCAGAGGGTGATACAGCTCTGCATTCACTTTATCTTATCTGCTAATGATTGCACTGATGGGGTACATAAAGCAAAAGCTCTTTAAAGAATTGCCTGGTCTCCTGTTATAAAATCACCTTATGGGTTTCTAGGATTAGGATTCAGATTTTGTCTAAAGAGGGATGTTATGTTTTCTTACTTGTTTCATTTAAGTGCAAGCTTTATCTTTATATGTGCTAGGAGAAAAAGCACAATTTCCTTTTATGAGACAGATTAAATTATGAAATTCTAGTACCAAATCTGATGAATGGAAGGAGAAGACAAAGAAAGACAAACAGGTCGCTACGGGAATCTGTTTTACTGCAACCTAAAATAAAACACGTAATGTAAACTTTAATCTCTCTCTAGTTAATGACTACACACCCTCAGCTCTGCAGAAGCAGGGTTATGGCTTGTAATTTGTTTACAGCTGATAAAGCCAGGAGTGTTTAGAGGTGTGTCACCAGGGTAAGGAACAGGCTGTTACCTCCTGGCACTTACCTGGTGTCCACAGGGTCGATGTTATGGAAGAAATAATGCATGTTGTGGTAAAGCAGGCCCACGATGGTGATGCAGGCTGTGGAGAGGGAACAGGGCTTATTCCTCAGTCCTAAACCAGAGAGCTTCTCTCCTGGGGCTGAACTGGGTGTGAATTCAGAGCCCTGACTTACAGCCCTTCCCATCCTTGCCTCAGCAGAGCTCTGATGCTCTGCTTGGAGAGCGTGTGCACAGCACAGACACCACAGGTGGAACAGGAGGATGCCTGGGCTGCTCACCTGCACCTCCCAGATCAGCTGTCAGAGCACACAGAGAGGAGGGCAGGACACAGCAGAGCTCCCCCACCTCCAGCTGAACAACCTCAGCCAGTCCCCAAGTCCTGCCTGCTGCAGCCCAGGTGATCCTGGCTCTCCAGCATCCCAGTGAAGAGACAGATGTGTGTTTCCTCAGACTGAGCCACACAGATGGCTTTTACTGTCCCTTTTGTTGGGTTCCAAGTATTTACAGTGTCAGCTGTCCGAGGTGAAATAACACATTTTTTAGGTTAGCTCATCTGGACAGTGTAGGAGTGTGGCCTGAAGGCTGAAATTGCTCAGAAGTGAGCTCTAGCTGGAAAAGAGTAAAACATTTAAAGCCCTGGATCATTTCAGGATACAAAGCACGACAATGTTCTGGAAAATCAAAGAAAATCTGCATGGTGAGGAACTGTATAAGTGGGAAAGGAAAAAACTCTCACATGCTATTTTTGGCATCAGAAGTTGGTTTGCAATTATAGTTATTCAAAAAGGACTTGCAGTCTCCAGCCAGAGCCCCTGCCAGTGCAAAGAAACAAAGCTGTCACCACAAATCAGGCAGACAGTTCAGTAATTATCGGAGAATTTCTCACTGCAGGTTATTTCCAGCTCGCTCTGCACTTTCTGAAGGAGGGACCGACCATCCCTCTGCAGAGGTGACTGCAGAAAGGCCTCTGGGTGAGGAATTCCAGGGGGTGGAATTTAGGGAGCAGAAGTCAGAATTGCTAAGATTTGAGGATGGAGGTAGATGCTTTTGCTTTTGTAAATTGGTTCCTTCAATCTCTGAGTAAAGCATAATTAACTTCAAACATTGTTGTTTTAGAGTCTTGAGTAAAGGTGCAAGTTTTAGCCACATTTCTTTTTAGGATTTTTTAAATTTTAGCATAGGTATGGATTTCTGAGTTCTGCCTTTTTGCCATGAGTGTAGTCTAGATCTTCATTCTGCCCCTGTAGCTGCTATTGCTTAAACCTGTTATTTTATAGCTTAATTTTATACAAAAAACCAATTTTGCATGAAGGGATGGGTAATACCTGATCTGACATCTGAGAGTTTCTTAAAAATAACCTGTTTAGATAATTTAAAAAAATAATTATGAAATTATGGCTTCTCTGATGCAAAAATGTGTCAGAATTAAATGGCTTCAGTCTCTGCTGCTCAGTTCTGCTATTCATTATTAATTCAAGTAATATGGAAACTCCACCACGTTAATTGCTCATTATTATGACAGGACCCTGCTGCCTCCTCAGACTCAGTGCAACCCACAGGGATCAAATCAGTTACTTGGAAAAATAAGGTGAACCAAAACCTGCTCTAAAACAAAACCATTTTTGGAGGCCCTGTGCACACAAGCCCATTTCTCTCTTTAATCTTTTCCTTACCTTTTCCATGGAAAGCTTCACTGGGGATGGAAATGTAGCTCTGCCCTCGAGATGGAAATCGGTAGTGGGACACATTCAGGGTCTGAGGGTGCATTTTGACCACAGCGTAATCTGTGGATAACCCAAACAAAACATCACAAACCAACAGCCCCTGCAGCTCCCTGACTGTTTATCCAGCCTTCCTGAGAGCTCCTGCCACTCCTGATTTACAGCCCAGCTCTTTGCAGACCACGGGGTAAATCCAGAACTGCCTTTTGTATCTGACTCCTGCATGGCAGAGCAGGGGTGTGAGCACTGCTCCTGAACCAGGGGTCACCTCCCCAGGGCACAGAACAGAGCAGCAGCACTGACTGCAGTCCTGCACACGAGAACCCCAGGGAGCAGGAGATGCAGGCAGTGATGGGTGGTCCTGCCCAGGTTATTCACCCCTCAGAGGGGCCTCAACAAAGCAAAGCAGGCAGCCAGAACAGATCAAACACCTTTGACACCTGCAGCATCCAAAGATGCAGATGAAATTAGGGTGCTAAGATGCTAACCAGCAGTAAAATAAAACTCTCCACAAAGGTCAAAACTATTCCCATTGTTTTCAGTCCCTTGCAAAACCCTTGCAAGGATTAAGGCTTTGCAGCACCCAAACCTCCACGGGCTGCATATGAGCTCTGGGCCCTTTATCAGCACAGCATTGCTCAATCCTTCACACATGACATTTATCCTGAATTCCTCCCCAGATCACCCCTGGGAAGCTCAGGCACAGCCAGAGCCGATCACTCCAGCCAGGCTGCACAGACATTTTCCCCCGAATGAAGCCCAGCTTTACATTCCAGAGAGGTAAATGATGGGTTTTGCTCTCCTGCTGCAGAGGAGAGGTGAAGCACAGGATGAGAGGGGCAGCTCTGCCCAGCCCCACCTGCCACAGCCGAGGAGCCCTCGAGGGTCAGAGGCAGCGAGTCCCCGGGCAGGTTGTTGGACAGGTGAGACATCACCGTGTCGATGGTGTGGATCAGGCTGCTGAACACCACGGGGCCCTGGGGAGAGACAGGGCGTGAGCTGGGGGCTGCTCTGCACAGCTCACGGGACAGGTAACACCTGAAATCCTGCTCAGGTAACTCCTGAAATCCTGCTCAGGTAACTCCTGAAATCCTGCCCAATAACACCTGAAATCCTGCTCAGGTAACACCTGAAATCCTGCTCAGGTAACTCCTGAAATCCTGCCCAATAACACCTGAAATCCTGTTCAGGTAACTCCTGAAATCCTGCCCAATAACACCTGAAATCCTGCTCAGGTAACACCTGAAATCCAGCTCAGGTAACTCCTGAAATCCTGCTCAGGTAACACCTGAAATCCTGCCCAATAACACCTGAAATCCTGCTCAGGTAACTCCTGAAATCCTGCCCAATAACACCTGAAATCCAGCCCAGGTAACTCCTGAAATCCAGCTCAGGTAACTCCTGAAATCCTGCCCAATAACACCTGAAATCCTGCCCAGGTAACTCCTGAAATCCTGCCCAGGTCAGGCGGGTTCCTCCCACCCACAGCAAATAAAACCTTGCACAGCTGGATCCAGCCAGAGTTTCCCAATCTGCTGTGCTGGATCCAGGGGCTCCAAACAGCGGCTGCTGACAGCCAGTCCTGCCCAGGACTCTGCAGAACCAGGCCAAGAACTGTGCAGAAGTTTTTGACAATAAAGATTGGTGTCAGATCTCCCTTGGAACACAAGCTGAGACATTGCAGTTTGGCCTTTCTTTCATCTTTATTCAAATGCTTCTCAGTATAAAAGCCACCATAACCCTCCAGGTTGAAATTTGATTCATAAAATCTGAGTTAATGCATGTTTCAGTGAAAAGGAAATCTATTTTATCTGAAATCCATTTACACCAGAGATGATCAAGGATTTGATGCTAAGAACTTAAATCAATTAGACATCCTTTTGTCTTAAAAGCATTTTAGGCTTCAATGAGACCTCCCTGTGCTTTAACTTCTCCTTCTCTCAGTTTAAAAGCTCTCTCTTCTGAAATCTGTGCTTTCTTAAGATTCAAGCAAAAAACTCAGGAAATTTCTGGAATCACCCTGCAGGTATTTCATCAGTGGCAGATGATAAAATAAGTCATAGTGCCAAAAGGTCCCAGCAAGCAAAATAAAGCAACAACCAGTTTTGTTATCATCCATGTGAATTTATGCAGCTGAAGGGAACTCACACATCTCAGCCCACTTGTCTTACCTCTGGTTCATCCATCCAGTTGGACAGCAACATAAAGTCTTCAATAGCTTTTAAAAATGCCTGGAAGACAAATAAAACTCCATTATTTATTAACCAGCTACATCTCCTGGCAAGGGTCCAGGGCAGATCTCTGCTAGGATTTTTCTCAGGTTTATGTCACGATGACAATCCCACTTCCATTCCACTCACAGATCCACCTCTACCTGCCAGCATCCTCACCACATTCTCTGTGGTGGCATCTCCAAGGAACAATTATTTTATTCAGAGTCACTCCTGAGGTGCTGAGCTGAGCTCATCACAGCTGAGCTAGCACTGGGACTGAGACTAAAATGAGTTTGTTCTCCAGTTCTATCTAAACTCACATGACATCTGTGGAATCACTGAGGGGTTTGGGTTGGAAGGGACCCTAAAAATCATCTCATCTCGTTGTAGCCCCTCTTCCCTGGCCAGCCTGGGCTGGGACCTGCAGTGTGCAGTGCTGAGCAGATCACAGCCCAGTCCTGCTGCTGTCCCCACACCGGGGGACATCGGGGAGCACACAAACTGCACCGCAAATTAAAGAAAAAGCCCAGGTTTCCAGCTCCAACTTATCTATTAAAAAGCCTTCAGAGAATGAATATAGCAAAGCTCCACTGTGAAATGTGGGAGACACCACATAGCAAAACCCAAGTCAGGTTTGTCAGAAGCGATTCATTACAAACGCGCGTCAGTAATCAGAAAGTTTATTGCATATCACTTAAATCAAATTTCCTTGTGCTGTGAGGCGTGTGACAATCAGGCAGAGATAACTGCACAGAAAATCACATGCGTGCTCAGGGCCTGTCTTTCAGAGAATTAGCTGCAGACAATACAAAGCCTCCCCATCCATCAGGCAGATGACAGAATGGTGAATGTGATCAGGACTCTCTTGTATTTACTCCCAGAATAGCTCGCTAAAGCTAATCGTGTCCCACATTTCTGTCTGTAAATCCCTGTGGTGGCACACAAAGCAGCAGCAGACAGGCAGGGAGCACCCGAGCATCAATCGGCTGCTGTGGGAAACAGGTACCAGTGTGGCAGGATGTGTTCCTTTTGTACAGCCCACACAAATTTATCAGGAAAACAAAGGAAACAACGTATTAAAGCTTTTTAAAAGGGCTTTTTCTACATATTAAACTGTGATCCGTGAAATCCAAGCTTTAGAGCTTGCGAACACTAAGCTTTTAGCACAATCTCTCAGTTGCTGTCCCTGTCGTTTTCAGAAGGTTTATTTGTATTTTTTGTCTGAGTAAAGCTCCCTTGTCACTCTGGAATTGCCCCCAGGCTTAGGGGAACAATCAGCAGCGAGGCCAGAGCTGATCACTGCAATAATGGCTTCACTGCCTGCTGAAATCAGGGAATTAGGTGCCCATCACTTTCCAGCTGGCTGATTTTATGTTAGAGGGGAAACACCAGCTCGCTTCTTCCCCTCTGTGGATTAGCTCCAACAAAATTAATTCCTTGAACCCATTTCAGTGGAGACAGTGACTCCAGCACTTCTCTGGGCAGGCTGTTCAGTGCTTGACAGCCCTTCCAAGGAGGAATTTTCCCTAAGATCCAACTGGAGTCTCCCCTGGCACCACTTGAGGCTGTTTCTTCTTGTCCTTGTTATTTGGAGAAGCGATCCAGCCCCTCAGTGGTAACGATGGCTCCAAAGGCATAAAGTGACAGCTCTAGGGACTAGAGAGACATTTCAATCCTCTAGGGACTAGAGAGACATTTCAATCCTTTCCTCTGGGCACTGCTCAGCTCCAGGGTGCTGGGGAAGGGCAGCGTCCCCCCAGCCCCACTCACCTGGGCCAGGCTGTGGGCAGTGTGCTGGGACACGGATGCGTGGGGCAGGCTGAGGGACACGTTCTGCAGCAGCCTCAGCTCCGAGCTGGGCGTCCAGGACCTGCCTCTGTCCTGGCCCAGAGCCCTCAGGATGGGCTGGTAGGCATGGGTGGGGAGCTGCAGCAGAGACACAACCAGCACAGCTCATCCCAAATGATCCCAAATGATCCCAAATAATCCCAACACAACCAGCACAACTCATCCCAAATGATCCCAAATGATCCTGACACAACCAGCACAGCCCATCCCAAATGATCCCAAATGATCCCAAATAATCCCAACACAACCAGCACAGCCCATCCCAAATGATCCCAAATAATCCCAAATAATCCCAACACAACCAGCACAGCCCATCCCAAATGATCCCAAATAATCCCAACACAACCAGCACAGCCCATCCCAAATGATCCCAAATGATCCCAAATGATCCCAAATAATCCCAACACAACCAGCACTGGATGGATGATGAATGGAAGGATGGAAGGATGGAAACATGAGAATATGCCACAACAGGTAATTGTTGTATTCTCCATATGAAAAATCAATTTTCATTATTTTCATTATACTTCTACTAAGCAGACAGAAACCGATTTTCTTATTGTGGTGGGAATTCTTTTTCTAATTTTAAAGGAAACAAAAGGAAAAGCTGCCAAACTGGTTTTTAGCCTTTTATATTTTCAAGGTTAATAGTAATACTTCAGAAGTTGCCACATTTTTTCCCTTTTTTTAAATATAGTGAATATTTTATTTAACAATGAATTTTCTTTGTATTCTCATCTTTCCATAGTGGCTAAAACTTCTGCCTATGCATATTTAAAAGCATTTATAATTGACACACGAAAAGAAGTGCCAGTAATGAAAATTAAGCAGGGAGGAGGGTCAGTAACTTTGTGATTTATGCACATCCTGCCATCACAGAAAAGAGCTGTGAGCACTGTCCTACCACAGGGTTTGTAGTGCTTGTCATCAGAGACCATGGAAGTGTTGAAGAAAGCAGGACTTGCACACCTGGGGAAATCCAAACTCAAATCAGTGTTAACAAATCTGAATTTTCTATATCAGATACATAATTTTATATATATATATATATATATATATATATATATATATATATGTATGTATTCCCACCTCAGGCTAAATCAGTTCTAACTGAAAGCAACAGATTTGCTCTTCTGTGGATTTTAGTTATTTGCAGCCACACAGCCTTCTAAAATAAATTGAATTTTCTGATTCTCTCATTAGTTTTATTCCATTATCTTATTACAGATGAGCATTGCAATAGTTTAACTCTTACATACTTAAATCTTTGTCTGCAAACAGGAAATTTCAAGTGTTATTCTCAATAAAAAAAGGTCAGACGTACAGTTACAACATCCATCTTTCTCCTCCAGCTCCTTCCCCAACATTTACAGAAATTTTTTAGGGTTTGGGGTTATTTGGGTTATTTGATAACCCTATGTCTTATCAGAAATAAATAATGATCTATTATAATGATAATAAATCATTAATAAATATATAATAATAAATAATGATTTATTGGCAGTTCTGACAGTTTCATGGAAGTTCTTGTTCTGTTTCTGTATATGAGCCAAACTGGGCCTGGCAGTGTTGGGACCCTGGAAAAATGAGGTTCAGGTCTCAGCTCCCATCTCCAGATGCTGAAGTTGACTCATCTTGAGTCTGAACTGTCCTAAAATCACAGCCACAAAGGCAGGCTCAGAAAGGCTTTCCCACATCACAAAATCTGTACTGGTGGAATATCTGAAGAACATTCCAAGCCAGTGGAAACCCTCCCAGTGCTTGCAGCAAAACTGAGGAACCCTCAAATGAAAGAGCAGGGGGAGAAATGGAGCACTGGGAATGACCATGTCAGAAATTATCTGTCAGGACAGAAAGAATAAACTTGATTCTGGATGGCTTCCAGTTGCTCCATTTTAAAAATATTGATTCCTTTCTGAGCAAAGCGATTTATTAGTCATTTGTGATAGAGAAATATAATTTTCTTCTAATTTACATCTTGCCAAGAGTTATTATTTGCCAGGAGCGTGGAATTTCAGTGCAGTCCAACGTTAGCTGCATAATGGGCCCATTTCTCTCGCAGGATCAAAAGGAACATGAACATTCATTCAATTAAAAACCAGACTTTCCTATTTTCTTGTGTCAAAGCACATTACCCTGCTTCAACCCTGCTAGAAATCCTCCAAGATCTATAAATAGATATAATAACCTTTCCTTACTGTGTTGATTACTATTGTAATACCCATTGCTTCCTCTGAGAATATTCTAATTTCATACATTAAGTGGGAAATTTTATAAAATCTGATCAATCTATTATTTTGAAAAGCTAAAAATTAAATTGCCACATTTCTCTAGTGCTCCAAAGCACCTGATCACATTAAAACAATGTTGGCTTGGAATTCTCCTGACTAAATAAAAATATATACCTGACATCCCTTTACATGTGAATTCCTAATTCCCTAGAAAATCCACATCCAGCTTCACCTGCAATTCAGGGGTTATACATTTATTTTTCACAGCATTCCGATAGTTCCACATGACACTGAAAAACCTGCAAACCAGGGGTGTAGGAAAAACCATCAACACAACAATTTCTGCCATGCAAATTGTAATAAACTCACAGCAGCTCATGGCACGGACGGCCCAAGGTAGAAATCAAGGAGTTTGCCTCCTGAAAATCAGGATTAAAGGTGGGATGCAGGAAGATCCCGTCCAACTCTTACAAAGTTTGGGTTCCAGCAGGGCTGGAGGCGCTGCCCACGGAGCGTTCAGCACTCACCCACAGCGGCTGTGAAGTACTGCAGGACCTCGTGGGGCGTCAGGGCCCGCTCCCAGATGATGAACTCATCAAAGGCCCCGTGCACGGAGCGCCGGGCCGGCTCCGCGCCCGGCCCCGCCAGCAGCTCCGCATCCCCGTAGTCGTAGAAAACCTTCCCCTGGGGGTCGGAGCTGCTCAGAGTCCCGTTGACGTAGACCTTGAGCCCTTCTCTCGACTGCCAGGTGAAGAGAATGTGAGTCCAGTGGGGACCTGCAGGAACAGCCACAGCAGGAGCCGTGAGCCAGCTCCATCCCGAGCTCGCCATGGACCTGCTTTGCTGCCCCGTGCGGGGCACAGAGCTGCTCGGGATGGGATTGGGATGGGATGGGATTGGGATGGGATGGGATCCATGGGATGGGATGGGATGGGAT